CAGAAATCAATAAAAGGAAAAAAGGGATAATTAAGAAGTGGCTTCCAATTTTCCTTTATAGCAGTCATGAAAATAAATGTTACTCTGTGACAGCATTGTTTACATTTTCTTTATTATTTACTAGTTTTACATCTGTTGTATTATATGTCATAACTTCATTTTTTTCTTTCTTACAAATATCAGTAAGATTTTCCAATCATCATTAAAATTAGATAAATTCTATCCCTAATTAAAGCAATTTGGCCGACTCAACAAGTTCCATCATCTTTACTACTTTTAGTATCATTTATTATCCATTTCCCCATTGTGGGTAAAGTTGAATTGTTCTGCCTGTGCATATAACAACCTTGCTGCATTTATCATACTGTGTATAAAAACAATTGTTTTTCCTAGCTGCTCATCCATCAATCCCCAAAGAAAATCCTCTGCTTTCAATTGGATATTAATTTTTAGACTTCTGTATTATTATATTTGATGATATGACTTTTTTTACACATCCACCAAGCATGTGCACCTACAACAACAAAAATATCATTTTTTAACTAGTAACTTACATAAGCATTGGAGACTCTGAGGTACACACTCTTTAAAAATTCAGTATCAAGACATCATAATCATCCCTATAGTTCCTGGTTATTTTAGTGCTTCCAACATTCAATAAATAAAGCATCGTTATGAAACTCCCACAGTACAAGCTAATACACAGACTAACTTTTGCCTCTAGTCCAGAGTTCTTACAATGGCCTCCTAAAATGATCTCAGACAAGAGAGAAGACCTTTGGTAGGGGAGGAACTCATTATACAGATAAAATGGAGTATGAAAGGGTAATGATTTTGTTTTTTATTCAATTATGCAAATATTCAGTATTACTTCAACTGTATTTTAATAAAGTATTGGGAGGCGGTATATAGACAAGTCTTTTTTTTTCTGGGGATTAAAAGTTGTGGTTGATTTGATATTGAAAAGCTGAAATACTGTAATTTGGGGGTGTAAAACTGAAAGTAAGGCACTAGGCTAGTTATAGAGATACCAAACAGGCTGCAATCAAAGGAGCAGATTATTATTTTTTGAACTGATTTCAAGCAACAGCCAAACAAATAATTGCAGTTAATTTTTCTCATGTTTATTTTCTTCTTAACAAATATATATTTTAAAAAATCATTTTTCATTGTTCCAACCTCAACTTTGAATGCTATCCTCTCAAAAAATAGCAGAAGGACTGTTGGAATGTAATCTTCTTAAACCTGAACAAGCCAGCTTTGTTATCAGAGCAATTGCCATTTTCCATCTCATTTGAAATCTTTAATATTAATCTCACAAGCATATACAGACTGAGAGACAAGCATGGACATTTTAAAAGTGCAGCTTTCATAGAAGTGTTTGATCTGATCAGTCAAACATCCGTTTTCTTCCATACATTAAAAAAAAAGTAATGGAAATGCAAATACAGAGAAACCAAACACAGCAAAATTCAGGAACTTTAGAAGAAATTACAATCCTTACAACTGTTATACCTCTGAGCCTCCCCACAGGTGTAGCTCACTCCTCTTACTCTGCCATGTAGCTGCAGTGTAAGGGAGCAAATTATGCCAACAATGTTCACAATTGCTAACCCTCTGAAGGAACCTAGTTAGGGAATTCCTTATAGAGATATTGATAGATATGGGGAAGGTATCAAAATTGACCTAAATGTACACTAGAATCCATGTTGGAGGCCATCCCCATGCAAGAGCCTTGCTGAGCAGTTATGTGCAAATTTTAATCAGATATACAATATTTTGATAGTGGATTAACCTGACCTTTTGAAGGGAGAGAACCAGTTTTCCCCCACTTTTTCTTATATCAATCCGTCTCTCTTGTTCCAATTTTGAAATAATTTAAGAATCTTTTCCCTTAATCCATTCTATAAATGTTTTTGTTAATGCTAATTCCAACCACTATATGTAGATATATTTGCTACAGCTGTGCATATGGAGAATCTCTTTTGGAGATTATTGGATTAACATTTTTGGAGATTACCTAGAAAATCTGAGGCACAGTTGTGTTGTTAGTTGTCAAATAACCAGCTTTGGATTTTTTTTTCTTTTTTCTTTTAGCTTTGATTACATTTGATTTGTCTGAAAGGCTCTGAAATAAAGTAGCTAAATTTTTCTTTTGAACAAGAAGAAAAATAGGATTACATTGTCTTTCGGGCACTACATCTTTGAAGTAATACATCAAATCCAAGATCCTGCATCCAGTTTCCACAGCTTCTCTATACAGTACTATCAAAAATTATAACCTTATCATGCAATTCATCATCATAAATTAACCTTTTTCTTTCATTCTTGATGTATTCCTGGAAAAAAATAAATAGCTATACATGATAGGACCAATTGCTACTCCAAGGGGTGTGTGGAAAGCTACCTCTAAATTTGCTAGGTTTGTATTCTACAGCTTGCTAATAGAATCCTGATTCAGAATTCTGAGCAGAAAGTGTGAATAAATGAACTGTAGACCTACAGTTCTGAGATCTTAGCACCTGGTGAAGCAGAAAGAAAAATGCATTTGTCTAACACTTGTACTACACTCATCTCTTTCTCAGGCCCCTTAATACAAAACTCAGAGTTGCTATGCAACCCTTATTCAGCAGAGGCTCTGCTTAGATTCTCAGCATTGTGTTTATATCAGAGACAGCCAGGCAGTGGTGGGTTTCCACATTTTTTTTCTACTGGTTTTATGAGGCCGCGCTTTACGCGCTTCATGTGTGTGCGCAGGGCTCAAAGACTGATCTCTGTGTGAGCTGAGCTGTTTTTTAGCTCAGCTGAGGTGCAGCAATCTGTTCTGCCACACGAATCAGCTGAGCTAAAAAACAAGGGAATATAGGAGAGGTGGGGACGGGTGGGCAGGGCCAGCCAGAAGTGGTATTTGCCGGTTCTCCAAACTACTCAAAATTTCCGGTATGCTAGAACAGGTCTGAACCAGCTGAATACCACCTCTGGATACAAAGAAGATGCTCTATCCTTGGAGGTTTTCAAGAAGAGACTGGATAGCCATTTGCCTGGAATGATATAGGATCTCTTGCTTGAGAAAGAGGTTGGACTAGAAGACCTCCAAGGTGCCTTCCCACCCTATTATTCTATGTTCTAAGAATAAAGGAAGGTTGTTGCTTTTTCAGCAAAATAAGATTTTTCTAATACAGGTGCCCAGAGCTAGCTGGAGTCGGGCAGTGCCTAAACTGAATTAAATAAATAGAAAGATACTGCATGAAAAATACACATAAGCCTTTCTGATAACTACGTGCTTTTGTTCCTCACTGAGATGACAACAGTCTTCTGCAATATTTGTTTCTTTCATTTATGATGCCAGAATCAAGGGAATAATAGAACTATTTCTTTTTCATCACATCAAACCAAAGATTTCTGTTCTCTGCAAGCTCTTACAAGCAATTTTACATACTCTTATAAGAGGGTAAGTTCCATGTAAATCTGTGGAAAATACACATCACAAAACTACAACCATCCCTCGCTCCTTTCAAATTCAACAATCTCAATCTGGCCTAAATATAATTAACACAGGAGCACTTTTTCCATACTTATCACTTTTGTTTTTAAAACCCTTAAAATTAATTAACAGCTGCATAAAATAAATCCCATATAATAAGATAGTGTAGGATAAGAGAAACTAAGCAGTGACATATCTGTACAGTCCAGATAAATAATTGCAGAGTTGAATTCTCTGTAACATGCTAACTTTTCTACCATTATGAATTTAAATTATGAATTTAATTTAATTTAAGAATGCTGTCCACAGTTTCTTTTAACTCATATGAGGATGGTGGTTGACAGAAAAGCAAATAAAGATCCCCCCCATGACTTATTACAATCTGTTATCCTACAGATGCGCTGGCTTGAAACTTCCAGAATTTCAAAATTTTAAATTTCAACTAACAATGGGATAGGGTGAGGTGGGAGCCTGGGATGGGTTTGTCGCACACATCTGAGAAAAAAATGGTTGAGAGACACCAGGTTTTTGTTTCTACTGTTTGCTGTTTTTTAGCATTGTTGTGAGCCAGTCAGAATTGTTTCCTTAGGATGGGCAGCCATATTAATATTACAAATACATATATGGTTACACACATGCACATTATTTTCATACTTGAAGTCCTACTCAACAATTTATCTTTAGATGTTTATATTTAAATGCTTGGAAAGAAAAAGTGGAGCTATGGCCATTGTTCTTTCAATGGGTTATTGAATCTTCATCCTCCCTGTGTTGAAGTGACATCTGCAGTACAGGTAGTCCTCGGCTTACGACCACAATTAAGCCCAAAATTTATGTTGCTAAGTGAGGCATTTGTTAAGTGAGTTTTGCCCCATTTTACAACCTTTCTTGCTGCAGTTGTTAAGTGAATCACCGCAGTTGATAAGTTAATAACACGGTCATTAAGTGAATCTGGCTTCCCCATTGACTTTGCTTGTCAGAAGGTTGCAAAAGGAAATCATATGACCCCTGGACACTGCAATTGTCATAAGTGTGAGACAGTTTGGAAGCATCCGAATGTAATCACGTGAGAATGGGGGATGCTGCCATGGTTGAAAATATAAAAAAATGGTCATAAGTCACTTTTTTCAGTGTTGTTGTAACTTCGAACAGTTATTAAATGAATTGTTGTAAGTCAAGGACTACCTGTATCAGAGGTGGTATTCAGCAGGTTCTGACCAGTTCTGGAGAACCGGTAGTGGAAATTTGGAGTAGTTCAGAGAACCTGCAAATCCCACCTCTGACTGGAGATTTTACAGTATCCTTCCCCTGCCACGCCCACCAAGCCACGCCCACAGAACCAGTAGTAAAAAAAAATTGAATTCCACCACTGACCTGCATGTGTTTCAATCTGTGTTGTGGAATTCTTGCCATGGACAGTTGGTGAGCCACAGGAAAGGGAATCACACAATGATAGTCTTAGTCATGATAAAATTCAATGAGGCTTCTATTTAAAAAAACAAACTGTGTGACTTACCTATTCTCAAGTTGCTTCTGTTTAAATTTCGGATGTCATGCCATGGCTTTTCCGCATCCATAATGCCAGTAGTTCTTCAACATCTTCCATACTTGAGCATTTCTAACTTTAATATCAAAGTAGGTTTGGTTGCATGCTGCTGAACCTGTGTGCTTTAAGAGGGGGGGGAGGGAAAGAGATATTGAGATTTCATGAGCTGCTCAGAGGGAATCAGCATATACACTTGCAAAGCTAAACCCAAATGCATTCAAAATAGATCCTCATAAATTGCTTTTCCAACATATTTGGGAAAAAAATTAACATGAATGATAATGTCGCTTATTTGCAAGGCTATCCATAAACAAGGGCAGAAGACATGTTTGTCAGATCAAACTCACTTAGAGATGTTGTTAGGGATGATTGAGAGTTTACAATTGAAAGTAAACCAACCAGACAAAATTTGGAGAACATTTAGTCTAGCCTTCAAACTGACAAATCCACAGATGTGCTAGAACATCAACTTCTAGAATTTCAACAACAGAATGGTCAATGCCTTGACTCTGTTGTTACATCCTCTAACCCCCACTCCTTTAACCTCAAACTATCCACTATTGACCTCACCCCATTCCTAAGAGGTCTGTAAGGGGCATGCATAAGTATACAATCTTGCCTACCGTCCCTGTCCTATTGTCCCCATTTATTCGTACCTATTTCCTGTATTCTTAATCATGTTTGTCTTGTAAGCGATTGACAAATCAAATAAATAAATAAATTTCCCAGCTGGCATTCAGTTGGAATGCCAACCCGACTGGGATGAAATTATTGCAAGATGCTAGAATAAGTGGAGGATTTGGCCTGCCAAATTGGGAGTTACATTATCAAACGACAACTTTGATGTGGTCAAGGAATGGATTACACTAAGAAATACTAGATTACTGACACTACAAGGACATGATTGGGGTGTCATGCCTTCTTATGGTACAAGGGATCTAAAACGCATGGTTATTGTAGAAGACATTACACACGAGAGGTTTTGTTATTAAATTGGGAGAAGATTAAAAGGCAACACTATTTAAAAATTCCAGTCTGGCTATCAACTATAGAAGCATTTTCATATCCAGTAATATATAAAATGGAACAGTTAGATATGGCAAAATATTGAATGAAAAGGGTGAACTTAAATCTATGCAAGAATTGGAAGAACAAGATATAAGGATGAATTGGTTTTCATATGTGCAAATACATTCTAGATATGATAAAGATCTTAAAACAGGAGGTTTCTATGATAAATTGACTGATTTAGACAAAATTTTGACAGGTACTGATGAAAAGGTGATTAAAAATTATATGGAACTAGATTTTTTTAAATTGCTTTCTAGTCTTTGGATCTCAGAAGGAAATTCCTTCTTGGTCTGCAGTACTACAACATATATCCCAAGCCACAGATGTTATCATGGTTTGTAAGAATGAATTTGGGAGACAGGGGGAAGAGTCACAGCAAGGAAACAACCAGATAAGAGGCAGCTTATTGCAGGAAAGTGACAAGTGTCTCAGAAGGGATCCTTCTTAGATTCATGGGCTCTAAAAGCCAACAGGGGAGACTTGCAATATTGATTTCAGCCTAGTAAGATATATTCAACCAAATAAATAGTTATTTTATTTTATTGTAAATTTACATTAACACAAACTTAAAAATCTAATAAAGGAGAATATTTGTAGTTCAGAGCTGACATGAGGGGTCCCTGGTGCTCTGTGAGCTCACTTATTTTCTTGCAGGCATTTCATTATCCAAACTAGGTAACATCATCAAGGCTAGATTGGCGCTTAGTTTGAGTAATGAAACATCTGCAAGAAAATCCCAAAGCTGCTTTTTCAAGAGGCAGCTGGACTTTCTGGTTTGACATGATTGGACAGAACTGAAGAAGCTTCAGGGGATGAGAAGCAAAACCTCTTCAAAGAAAAACAAGGAAGTCCAGTTGCCTCTTGAAAAAGCAGCTTCGGGACAACCATGACCTGGATGACAGAGAATCTTCATAGACATCTGCAACAGTGGTGGGATTCAAAGTTATTTACTACCAGTTCTGTGGGCGTGGCTTGCTGGACGTGGCAGGGGACGGATACTGTAAAATCTCCAGTCAGAGGTGGTATTTGACGGTTCTCCTAACTACTCAAAATTTCTTTTTCTTTTTTATAAAAAAATTATTGATTTTTAAAAACAAACATAAACAAACAAAACATAAAGCATAAAAACATAAAACATCTTTTTTGAAAGCAGCGAAGGCGGTAAGAGCCTGAAGGCGGTAAGAGCGGTGGTCAGAAATGGCTGCCTCAAAGAAGCACTCATCCGGAAAAGAAAGTGCAGAAGGAAGTTAAGAAGTGAAAGTTTTGGCTGACCGGGATAAGAAGCAACAACTAAGGTATCCTGGAATTTAAATTTTAAAAAAAGATACATCGCTCCCAGGGAAGATTCGGAAGCAGCGAATGAAAGTGAAAAGTTTTTTTTTCCACTCTCCTTTCTTACGTTGACAGCGAACAGAGATGAATGAGAAATCGGAAAAACCCGCTTTGGCATCAATAGGTAATTAAACTGGATAATTAAATATCAAGGGGACAATAAGGATTTCTGAACACTAAAAAAATCTTTTTTTTTTTTTTTGCTGTAAGTGGGAAGGGAGAGGAAAACAATAAGAGCAGGATTCGGAAGGAGGAGACTGCCTGGAATTTAAAAGAATCTGATTAAATCCTAACAAGACTTCTAAAAGATACATTTTAATTGGAACTTTCTAACTAAACAGTAACCCCAGGAAGAGAAAGTGAAAAAAGAAGAAAACGTTAAAAGAAACAGCTTGTGTGTATTTGGATTGCTTGGTGACTTTGGGACTTTTGGAATTATATTTGAATGACTAAAAACACTTGGGTGGTTGTTTGAAAAAAATTTTTTTTTACAATGGCATCACTTGTGGATGAACTGAAAATGGAATTTTAAAAATACAAAGAAGAGGAACAAGAGGGAAGGGCTTTCTTGGCTCTGTTTTTCAATTCTTAGAAATGGCGATTTGTACCTACGAGAAACTACAAGAAAAGACTGCGCAACAAGAAGATTGGGGCAAAGAAGAAGCCATCTTTAATGAACAAGTACTTGGGGAAGAAAGGGGAAAGGAGGGAAAGAAAATGGAGACTTTAAGACCTAAAAAAACAACCAAAAAAGGGAAAAATAAGGTGAAAAGTGGATATAATGTTAGAAAGCAACAGAAAAGGGGAACACAGAAAAGGGAAATGGAGGTGGAGAGACAAGGGGGTAAAAAGGGCAGAGAGAAGCAAGGGAGGAAGAAAGGGAAGAGAAGCTACAAAGGTGTGGAGCAAGATGTAAAGAAACAGGACTTATTTAGAGATAATGGATAAAAATTTAATTGAAAAAGTGATTCTGCAAAGGTACGTAAGATTGTATTGTTATATTTGTATTAGAAATAATGTTAGAAAATTGGAAACAACATATGTTTAAAAAGTGGGATAAAATACTCAGTGTAATTCAGTGACTTTTGTGAACAAAATAAATGAAATGAAATAAATGAGAGAATTGAATTAGGAAGGAATGGGAACATTTTAATGACACAATGTTTTAAAATATAAGTGAAGTGGGGGGGAAATAACTATGGAAAGTTTATAAGTGTTCCCATAGAAGTATGATACTTGTTTGAAAAGTAATGTGTAAAATATTTAAGATTTAAATGAATATTAATATTAACGATAGATTTGAATTGATAAGGATTGTTGTTTTAATTATATTATATATTTATAATTTTTTCTCTTTTTAAAATATAGTGTGTAACTCTAGAATGTACTAAGCAGAATCCGAATGGAAGTTATGTATTATACTAAGTGTTATAAATTTAGGGGAAAGAGATAAAGGCGTCATACTCCAATCAGTGATTACAGGAGAAATTTTGTTTAATGAGCAAAGATAATAGACAGCTGGAAACAGGACAGACAAAGAATATAAGTATAATGATCTGAACTGAGATGAAATAAACAAAATAAAATTAAGAAAGTTAAAAGAGGGGAGAAGCTATATAGAAAATGTAGAATGGTAATAAGATATGGAATGGTATATAAAATGAGCATGAATTTGCATTTGTGTCTGTATGAAGAGATGTAACCCAGGATCTAACTACTCAAAATTTCTACTACCGGTTCTCAAGAACTGGTCAGAACCTGCTGAATACCACCTCTGATCTGCAAGAAAACAAGCAACGCAGAGAGCTCCAAGGACCTCTCACTTGAAAGTCTGAAAGTATATTCCCCCACCTTGCCTTTACAGCTCAAGAAACTAGAGAGAGTCCTTTCTGGGCTAAGCTGTCCCTTGACTGACAGGTCCCCTGGCAGTGGCTGTTCCCCATGTACCAAGGTCATTTCTACCTATCGTAAAAATGTCTACCACACAGACACCCAGACTTCCCACACAGAAAGCCACTGTTTGTCTTTGCATTAACAGCTTGTGGAATGCTATAATTATTCATGCCTTGATGTAATTTGAGGCCTGCTCTGCTTTCCCTTAGAGCCATGCCGCCGTCTATTAACCCATCAAGCATTTTAAATGAAAGCAACTCATAATTTCACTCAAAGTGGGTAAGCTTCATTAAAAAGCAGCGATGAGTTTAACTGAAGATTTTTCTCTCTTTCTCCCCAGTTCTTTCCAAGGCTAAGGCAGCATATGGAAGAGATGATAGAGGGATGTTTACTTTGATAATGGGCCCTGCTTGCTTGCTCTTTATTTCGGTTAGCTTGTGGTGGGGGGAGGACAAATCATTAAAGGGACAGTCTAATTTACAAGAAGAGAAGCATGCCAACTGTTGACCAGCAGGCTTTTGATTGGATTCCAGGAAGACAGGTGTGCACTGCTCCAATTTACAGCTAGAAGGAGAAATCAATGTGTGTGATGAGGCCCAAGTAGCAGGGAAGGAGCCTTTCTGACAGACTTTTCCCGAGCAAGCAAATAATTCTACTCTAACGACAATAATGAAATACTCATTTTTAAATTAAGCATAGCAAGTATGAAGAGCTTCCACAGATACCCTTACAAATATAAGGTTGTTTTTAATTGTGTATTGTATTTCCTTTTTTTATTTCAATGCTTAGCAAAGTTAAATGGAAAAGGGTTGAATGACTAAGAGGG